AAAGAAGGAGAAGGAGGAAGAAAAGGATGAGGAAAGGAGAAGAAGGAGGAGAAGGGAGAAGAAGAGAAGGAGGAGAGGAAGGAGGAGAGGAAGGAGAGAAGGAGAAGAGAGGAGAGAGAAGGAGAAAAGGAGAAGGAGGAAAGGAGAAGAGGAAGAAGAGAAGAAGGAGAAGAAGGGGAGGGAGGAGAAGAAGGAGAAGGAGGAAGAGAAGAAGAAGGAGGGAGAGAAGAAGGAGAAGAGAAGAAGGAGAAGGAGGAAGAAAAGGATGAGGAAAGGAGGAGGAGGAGGAGAGAAGGAGAAGAGAAGAAGAAGAGGAAAAAAAAGGAGGAAAGGATGAGAGAAAGGAGAAGAGAAGAGAAAGGAAGAAAAGGAGGGAAGGAGAGGGAGAAGGAGGAAAGAAGAAAGGAGATGAGAGGATGGAGAGGAGGAGAGAGAGAAGGAGAAGGAGAAGAGGAAGAAGGAGAAGAGAGAAGTTAAAGAAGGTGGAGGAGAAGAAGAAGAGAGGAGGAGGAGGAAGAAGGAAAGAAAAGAAGAAGAAAGGGAAGGAGAAGGAGAGAAGGAGAAGAGAAGAGGGGAGAAAGGAGAAGGAGGAAAAAGAAGAAGATGAAGAAAGGGATGACGAAAGGGAGGGAGGAGAAGAAGAAGAAGGAGGAAGGATGAGGAGAAGGAGAAGAAGGAGAGAAAGGAGGTTGAGGAGAAGGAGGAGAAGGAGAAGGAGGAGAAGAAGAAAAGAGGAGGAGGAAGGAGGAGGAGGAGAAGAAGAAGGAGGAGAAGAGAGGAGAAGGAGGAGAAGAGGAGAGGAGAGAAGAGAGAGAAGAGAAGAAAGAAAAGGAGGAAGGAAGAAAAGGAGGGAGGAGAAGAAAGAAGGAAGAAGGAGAAAGAGAGAAAGAGGACGAAACGAAATCTGAACTTAAACAGACACAAGACTGAGGCTGAGTATCAGATACGATTCACACCTCGATACAGTGAGCTTTCTGTTCAATATGATATATTTCAAATCGATTTGATACGGTTCAATAAAAAATAAAGTTTAAATCATGGCTGTGATATTAAAGTCTTTGTTAAACCACTTCACAAACACAAACATTTTAATGATCAAAATGTGTCACATAAACGAGTTTCCTTCCACAACAAAACTGTAGCTGTATCTAAATTATTTAGTAAAATATACCAAAAAAATACTTTTGTATGTATCGATACAGCGGCTCACGATATCGATACTGTATCATCACATTAAACGATACGATATATCGATATTTCAGACTGTAGCACTCAAATAAAAACATAACATTTTCCAGTGCTTTTTTGATAACAACACTGAAAACCGCAAATGTTTTTATTATTGTCATCCATTCCCGCCCCCTGTCTGCCCCTGTCTGCTCCTGTCTGCCCTGCTCCCCTGTCTGCCCCTGTCTGCCCCTGTCGCCCCTTTGCCCCTGCCTCCCCCTGCCCCCCCTGTGCTGCCCCTGTCTCTCCTGCTGCCCCTGTCTGCCCCTGTCTGTGTCTGCTCCGTCTGCTGCCTGCCCCTGCCCCCTGTCCCCTGTCTGCCCCTGCCTGCCCTGCCCCTGTCTGCTGTCTGCCCCTGTGCCTGCCTGCCCCTGTCTGCCCCTGTCTGCCCCTGTCTGCCCCTGTCTGCCCCTGTTCGTATCATTGTGACTGGTCCGTTTCCACATCAGTGCAGATAATGCGATGCCCCCGGAGCCTCCGACGCCCCTTTTCCCTTTTCCCGCTAATGCTGTCATTTTAAAAATACATGAGGCGAGAGGAGGAGAAAAAGAGCAAAAAGTGGAAGAGAGAAGAGCTGGAGATTCTGGTGACCATTAGCAGACGTACATTTACAGTTCAGGGGCAGATAGGCCTTCGTAAAAAAAAAGCGATAATGAAATTCCAAACTCAATTTCTGTGACTTGAGACTCAACAGAACGGAATTTTCAGCATTAAATCATATTACCGTAATTTTCAGACTATAAGCCGCAGTTCTTTTTCGCACGCTTTGAACCCCGCAGCTTAAACAACGACGCGGCGAATGTATGGACGGATTATTTGTCCATTTGTGTATTCATATATACAGTGGTCCCTCGTTACGGTCTAAAAATAACCGGCACGATAGGTGAAATCAACTTTATATTTTACAATTATTCTATCTGTTTTAAGTGTGTAAAACTCCACTGCATAAACTTTATACACTTTTCTCACATACGACAGGTGCAGCTCTTTTTACTTCCTTCTTCAAACTTATCGCTGCTGTCGTCCTTTTGTTCTTTTTCTCCTTATTTTTGTAATGAACGGAAGATTAATTTATTCCGTAATGGAGCCAGACTCCTGTCTGGAGACTCGAACCTGTGCAGGACAGGACCGCACCTGCCCGTTAACCCGAAATTATATCAAACTAAACCAGGACTAAACCAGGTCTAAACCAGGACTAAACCAGAACTAAAACCAGGTCTAAACCAGGTCTAAACCAGAACTAAAACCAGGTCTAAACCAGGTCTAAACCACCAGGTCTAAAACCAGGTCTAAACCAGGACTAAACCAGGTCTAAAACTAAAAGGTCAAAACCAGGCTAAACCAAACTAAACCAGGTCTAAACCAGGACTAAACCAGGACTAACCAAACCAAAATATAAACCAGGAACTAAACCAGACTAAAACCAGGGTCTAAACCAGGTCTAAACCAGGACCCAAGACTAAACCAGACTAAAACCAATCTAAAACCAAGCTAAACCAGGTCTAAACCAGGACTAAACCAGGACTAAACCAGAACTAAACCAGGTCTAAACAGGTCTAAACCAGAACTAAAACAAGGACTAAACCAGGACTAAACCAGAAAAACCAGAACTAAAAACTAGGTCTAAACCAGGTCTAAACCAGGACTAAACAGGACTAAACCAGAAACTAAAACCAGTCTAAACCAGTCTAAACCAGACTAACCAACTAACCAGGTCTAAACCAGACTAAACCAGGTCTCAACCCAGAAAAGCCACGACTAAAACCTAAATCAAAACCAGACTAAACCAGGACTAAAACCAGGTCTAAAAACCAGTCTAAACCAGGCTAAACCAGGTCTAAACAGGATTAAAGCCACGACTAAAACCAGGAAAAATCAAAATTAAAACCGACTAAACCAGACTAAAACCAAGTCTAAAAGGTCTAAAAACCAGGTCTAACCAGGACTAAACCAGTCTAAACCAGGTCTTAAACCAGGTCTAAACCATATGACACTAACAGTAGGTGGACATACTAGCAGCAGTGTCTCATAAAAATCATTTCCTCTATCAAATAATATTGTTAATCTGTTAATAAAAATGGTTTTTTGTGTTTTTAGCAATAAAATTCTTCATCTTTGCGTCTCTACAGTAAAACAAAAGTCTGTTCATGGACTTGGACTCAACACACAATTTGAAAAGAACAAACAAGAATTTTCAGGATGTGCACTACAATATTAGTTTTAAAAAAAAAGACAATATTAAGTAATCCAAAGTATTCAGTTACATACTCACTTAAAGGTTGTAGGGGATTTTAAGGAAGAGAAATACAGCGACAGTCCTTTTTTACTCTAGAAACAGCTTGTTTACATTAAGTTCGTTCAGAATTACTGTGAAGTTTCTTCTAGAATAATTTAGCGACCGACGTGTCAGTTTTTAGACCCTTCGTCCGCTTCAGTCGCGCCGTCGCTGAAGGAATCTCAGATCACCTCAGTTTGTCTTCGCTCCTTTTCTCCTTCTTCTCTTCTTCTTTCACGACCTCAAAACCGACTTTCTTTTGCGGCGAACCGTCGGGGATTCTCTCGGCGTCGCGACAAACTTTGTGCGAATTGTGAGGAAGCGACAGTTTGAAAAAGCCTCTTAAGAATCCGCGTAAACCACCGTAATCCGCGCGCCGGCGAGTCAGTTACACTAGAACGTAGGGAGTTTGATTGACGACCTGACAGCCAATAGGAAATGAGGAGCCTCGTTTTCTATTGGCTGATGTTTATCTCGTTCACTGCTTCCACAGTTGATAGATTTTCATAGTTTTTTTTTTTTTTGGTCATCATAATTACAAAGCTGCTTCGTCTCTGTAATGGTATTTTAAACTTTCATTGACAATTTGAAACTAAAAAAAAAAATCCTCCATACAACCTTTTGTATGGAGGATTTTTTTGTTTGTTTAAATTGTCAATGAAAGTTCAAAAAATAGAAATATAGAGACGCAGCAGCCTTGTAATTATGATGACCAAAAAAAAAAAAGAATGAAAATCCATCAACTGTGGACAGGGTGAGGGCAGATAAACATCAGCCAATAGATAACAAGGCTACCTCATTTTCTATTGGCTGTTAGGTTGTCAATCAAACTCCCTACGTTTCTAGCGTCAACGACTCGCCGGCGCGCGGGGATTACGTGGTTTACGTTTGCCTCTCACGCACCGATGCCATTTACTCAACCAGCGCAGCGGTTCTTGCCGTCTTTTTCGAACTGTAGCTTCCTCTCAGTTTGCACAAAGTTTGTTGTAATGGCCGACAAGAATCCACGACCAGTTCGCCGCAAAAGAAAGTCAGTTTTTGATGTCGCGGGAAGAAGAAGAGAAGGGGAAAAGGAGCAAAGCACAACATTTAAAAAAGGGCAAACAGTCGCTGCATTTCTCTTTCCTTGGAAAATCTTCCATACAACCTTTAAGTAATTTAATGGATTACGTTACAAACTACATTTTGGGGTGAGTAATCTGTAATCTGTAGGGGAATACATTTTAAAAGTCACCTTCCCAACACTGTCCACTGGAAACAGAATTTGACAATAAAACATAAACACAGAGCTACAACAAGAGCTGCTACTAGAAATAATTTTGTTACGCTTGGTCAGTCTCTTCTTGTGCCAAAGGAGCCAGACTGTGAAACTGCAACCGGCTGATTTAAAATTGGAAACCAACAGCAACGAATAAAAATAAATAAAGTAACCAAAAATGGACTCGCTGAAAGTGTAATAATGCAGTTTCCTTACCCCTCGCCTCTGTGTCCGCTGCAGGTTGAACATCGGGGTGAACGACCTCTTGACCTTCTACGACGGAGACGACCTCACGGCGAAGGTCCTGGGCTCTTACGGCGGCTCCAAGTCCAGGTTCAAACTCTACACCTCCACCGCCGACGTCACCATCCAGTTCCAGTCCGACCCGGCGACCAACGTCTACGGATACGGAAACGGATTCGTGGTGCACTTCTTTGGTGAGGAATCCCAAATGTTAGACTTTATTGATCCACAAGGGAAATTATTTGGACACAATAGCCCGACGAATCCACTCTGGTGTCTCTCTGTATGTTTTTATACGGGGACAGGGATGTCAGTCTGGTCCCCACTCCCTCCAGTACGTCTGATCGGATTTGTTTATTTCAGTGACACATGTAGTAGTAGTAGCAGTTTATTTTCATCATAAAAAAACAATGAAGAGAGAGACATTAAAGGGCCCATCTCATGCATGCAACTTTTCAGAGCTTTCTACCTTCTAAGAGTGATGTGTGGGCCTTGCATTTGTCGCCGAAGTGGTTTTTAGATTGATTTGGCGTTTTTTTTAACAAATTGCAGAAACGAAACTTAAAACCGCATCGCTAATTTGCATAAACTCAGCGAAGATAAAACTACAGCTCTTGTGTCGCTGATGCGGTTCAACTTCTGTCAGATTAAAAGACATGACTCAGGTGAATACAGGTTAGTGTGACCAGATTTGCGTTTGTCAAAACCAGGACACCGTACGGGGGGAGGGAGGTGGGGACTCGTCATCGACATTGCGCGACTCTCACCTGGCAAAACTTTTCCCGCTGGACACCGAAACGTATGTGCTGCTTTATACACTGTGCACATGGACTCACACTTGTCCCGAACGCAACGGAAAGTGTGGAATTTCTTGTACAAATCATCGTTGCACATCGTTCGCATTTGCACTTCGGTACGTTGCAGGCTGACCGACATGTACGGACACATTTGGTCACGCTACGCACAGCAACCTACATTCGGTTTGTTGATTAAAATGAACGTAATCGATGAAATTCTTAACGATCAATTATCGATTAATCGACTAATCATGCCCATCCCTAGTGTACACGATATAATAAGTTGATCTACTAGTGTTTTTTAATACTTTACCAATCAGTAATGTTCAGCTTCGTGCTCCTCAAAGTCCTCGTCCGATTCCGGGTCCAACACATGCGGCTGAACGCGCTGTATCTCCATGATGAATAAAAGTTTATTCCTGTCGCGATCAGGGTCAGTCTGTCTCCCCTCCCTCATGAGATGGCGAAAGGGCGACTCACTCAGAGCCTACGTCACGTTTGGAGGGCGGAGCCTGTGCTTTCTCAGGACGGGCGGGGGAGGAGCAATAGTCGGTCTTTCATAGTTCCTTGTCCCAGATTTCATAACTATTGTGTAGTGGATGTTCCAAAACCCAAACTGTGCTTGTTTATGTGCAGAAGATACAATGTGAAATTAGTTATTTTACATGAGATGGTCCATTTAAATGAATAGTGTGGAATAAAATCTTCTGAGTCATACGCAGGTAAACAGAATCGTTTTGAGTCTGGATTTAAACAGCGTCAAACTAGAAGTCCTGTCTCACATGTTCAGACTGTTCCAGGTTTTAGCTGCATGAACCTGAAACTCTGACTCCCCTTGTTTAGTCGTGACTCTTGGCACCAGCAGGAGGCGGGTCCCTGAAGTCCTCAGAGTGTGAGATGGTTTATATGACACTAACAGGTCACAGATGCTCAATCAATCAATCAAACTTTATTTATAGAGCACTTTTCATACAAAAATGCAACACAAAGCTCTTGTTCTTTTGTGCTCTGCCATGGATAGACTTGTACAAAAATAGAGCCGTTTTAAAGACGATTCTCTGAGCCACAGGGGGCAGTGCAGAGACTTGAGCAGCTGAGACACTTAGACAGTGGACATTTGATTTTTGCTGTGTTTTTTAGATGGTAAAAGGCTGCAGATGTTATTGATTTGATGTGGCTGTTAAAGTTCAGTTAAAGATCAAAGTCTGAGTCCATTATTACCCTGAGATTTCTCTCTTGATTTGAAGGTTTTCGAGAGAGAGACTGGAGGAGACTGTTTTATACACTCACCTGCTTCTGTAGCCCGTCTACCAGTGTCAGAGCGAGCATTTCACACCGAGGCCTTCAGTCGTGCTCCGTCTGAAACAATCCACTCCTCAAGAACTATTTTATGGTTATAAAAGTGTCTTATTCTACAGAAACACAGAATAAAGAGCCATGGAGATTCTGTGCACAAAGAAGTGAGGAGAGGGGGTGTTAAACCAGGACTGTTTAGTCCAGACGGGCCTGAAGGTGCGTCTGTGTAGACTGTCGGGTGACTGAAGACGAAAGGACCGCGCCTGGACCGTGCTCCACTGCGCTGCATGGGGCTCAGTGCAGCTGTCGAGACACTCACTCTGTCTCGCTCTCTATCAGCTCTAAAGGGTCGTTCACACCAAAGCGTCAACGCGTCCAGTTTCTATGTAAAGTCGATGTGGACGCGCGACTAGAGCGTCCTGCGTTTTTGCGGCGTCAGCGCGGCGCGAATCTGGCGTCGTCGCGGTGCGTCTTGAGCGTTTTGGCGTCAGCGCTCTAGACGCGCGTCCAAGGCGTCAGCGTCAAGAAGTTGAAAATGCTGAACTTTTCGTGTCAGACGCGCCGCGTCAACCAATCAGGGACGAGTATCCAGAGACGCAGCGACGTTATTATCAGGAAGAAAAACCCGAGAACCAGAACGAGAACCACAAACATGAACGGAGAATAAATATATACACCACAATCACCGAGACCGATCACGAGGAATACACCAGGACCGGACCAGGATTAAACCAGGACCGGACCAGGACAGACAGACCAGGACTAGACCAGGACTACAGGACTAAACAGACCAGACCAGGACTAAACAGAAGACCAGACTACAGGACTAAAACAGGACTAGAGCAGGACTAAACCAGGACCAGACCAGACCAGGACTAGGACCGACCAGGACTAAAGGACAAGGAACTAAAACCAGGACTAAACGGACCAGACCAGGACTAAACAGGACCACTAGACAGACTAGACTAAACAAGGACTAGACCGAGACTAGACGAGACTAGACTGAGACTAAACAAGGCTAGACCGGGATATTAGACCAGGACTGATCCAGTGTCATTAGTGGAGTATAAATATAAACTTACGCTCCAGTCGTCGAGTCGATCTCCTCCGCTGATGTTTTATGTCATAAAAACACTAAAGTCTCTCTCAGTCTGGTCTGACATTGTTTCGGGAAAAGACCGGGACCGGGCTCTTGTTTCCAGGGCAACGGACGCGCGTCAAGTATTTTTTTCCCGTTCGTTGACCGCGTCAAAAACGTCGGGGGCGTCTAAACTCAAATGCAAAGGCTCCAAATAGAGACGTCAAGGCGTTTTTTGATGCTTTGATGTGAACGGCCTTTAAGATTAGACCTGGTGTAGTCCTGGTTTAGACCTGGTTTCGTCCTGGGTTTAGACCTGGTTTAGACCTGGTTTAGACCTGGTTTAGTCTGGTTTAGACCTGGTTTAGAGTCCTGGTTTACCTGGTGTTAGTCCTGGTTTAGACCTGGTTTAGACCTGGTTTAGACCTGGTTTAGACCTGGTTTAGACCTGGTTTAGTCCTGGTTTTAGACCTGGTTTAGACCTGGGTTTTAGTCCTGGTGTTAGTCCTGGGTCCTTAGTTAGTCCTGGTTTAGTCCTGGTTTAGACCTGGTTTAGACCTGGTTTAGTCCTGGTTCAGTCCTGGTGTAGTTTACCTGGTTTATGTTTTAGTCCTGGTTTAGTCCCGGTTTAGGTCCTGTTTAGACCTGGTTTAGTCCTGGTTTAGTCCCTGGTTTAGTCCTGGTTTAGTCCTGGTTTAGTCCTGGTTTAGTCCCAGTTTAGTTTTGGACCTGGTTAGTCCTGGTGTAGTCCTGGTAGTTAGTTCCTGGTTTAGTCCTGGTTTAGACCTGGTTTAGACCTGGTTTAGTCCTGGTTTAGTCCCTGGTTTAGTCCTGGTTTAGGTTTACCCGGTTTAGTCCAGTTTAGTCCCAGTTTAGACCCGGTTTAGACCTGGTTTAGACCTGGTTTAGACCTGGTTTAGACCCGGTTTAGACCTGGTTTAGACCTGGTTCCTTCTTTGGCTGGTTCGCTCTGACTGTCCAATCACGGCTCTAAATCCGGTGACGTCTTTATTCTTTATTCTTTATTCTTTATTCTTTTTTCTTTATTCTTCATTCAGTCTGAGGCGACAAACAGAATCAAAAGTTACACACTGCACCTTTTAAATTTGACTCAGAAAGTCAGACGTGTCCCATAAATAAACACATTTGTAGTGGAAATATACGGGCAGTTACAGAGGAAATGTGTAGAGAGGAAAAAAAAAAAAAGAAAAAAAGAAAAAACCCTTTGGCCAAGATGAATTTGAAGAAGGTGCAGTTTGTTTTATTGGAGTGAAAATGGAAAACGTAAATGGTTTTGTCGGAGGGTTCGGCCTGGTCCTTCATCAGGCCCAGAGCAAACACACACATCAGATAAAACCAATGTGTTTAACGAGCAAAAAGAACGAGGGAAGAAGAGGGAGGGAAGGAGGGAGAGAGAAAAAGGGAGAGAGAGGGAGAGAGAAGAGAGAGGGAGAGAGAGAGGAAAGGAGAATAGAGGAAACGAGAGAGAGAGAGGAGAGAGTGGGAAATAGAGCGAGGAAAGAATGTGGAAAGTAGAAAGAAAAAGAGAGAGAGGAGAGAGGGGGAGAAAGACAGAGAGAGAGAGGGGGGAGGGAGTGAGAGAGAGAAAGAGGATGAGAGGAGGAGAGAGGAAGAGGACGAGAGGAGGAGAGAAAAGAGAGAGGAAGAGGGGGAGAGGAGAGAGAAGAGAGGAAGAGAGAGAGGAAAGAGGAAGAGGAGAGAGGAGGAGAAAAGAGAGAGGAAGAGGGGGGAGAAAAGAGAGGAAAGAGGATGAGAGGAGGAGAGAAAAGAGGAGGAGAGGAGGAGAAAAGAGAGAGGAAGAGGACGTGAGGAGGAGAGAAAAGAGAGAGGAAGAGGGGGAGAGAAAGAGAGAGGAAGAGGACGAGAGGAGGAGAGAAAAGAGAGAGGAAGAGGACGAGAGGAGGAGAGAAAAGAGAGAGGAAGAGGAGAGAGGAGGAGAGAAAAGAGAGAGGAAGAGGGGGAGAGAAAAGAGAGAGGAAGAGGATGAGAGAGGAGAGAAAAG